TAGACAACCTTTCATTGAACAAGTGTTTCGAGAAGTATGTCCCAGCCGAGCGGATAGTGTAAGTCTTGGATACGATTTCCCTTCGATATAACTAACCTTTGACTTTTTTGTATACTGCATCAAATGTACAACTATAATCATTAGACATGTTCCATAATCATATAACGATGCAGATGCTATCGGAAATACCTTTATTTTATTGACTACTTCTGATGTAAAAAGAGATTCATTTTAAACTTGCAAGAGAAGTACACTGGTATATTATGAAGTAAATCTTACCTAAATCAAATCTGCTACTAAACATGTGCAGATCTTACATTCTTGCAGTGCGTTATTGTTGGTAAAAAATAAATTAGAGTTTAAACACTACACTTAAAAATCGTGAACTACTTTCACCCATTCAGAAAGATAAGTACACAATTAATTTTTCAAATTTCTAAATTATTTCATATGTCTAATAATAATAAGAAATATTAATTTTGCTTTTGCAATTTTTTATTAAAAAAATAAAATTATAATATTGTGATTTGATAAGAGATATACTAAAAGTATTTGAAAAATTTATAATTATCAGTTTCATAAAGTTTATCATAACAAAAATATGTTTCTCTTAATACATTTAAATTACACTTCAAATAACAAAGATAACTAATAATACAAGTAGGTAAAAAGGTTTGTTTTATATTACCTCTTATTTCCAAAAAGATATTATGAATTGTAAACAAGTTAACAAATGTTGATATTCTACAACATTTAGGCATTGAGAAATATTTCTTAATATATTTCACTACATAATTGAAAAGAACAAGGAAAAATGAACTCAAAGTACATCCTACAGCTGATTCTAATCAATATTGGTATTGGTGGTTTTCATAATTATCACTATCTATTGTTGGATTTTATAAATTCTTCATCCAAGGAGTAAAAAATGTTTATATTACAGTTATAAGCAGAGGATTTAAAAGTATTCTACTGAGAACACGTGCAAATATACTTATATTCTATGAAAAACTAGATAATGTGAAAATGATTAAAAATTCTGTTACTATAATAAACTATATGTTTAAAGAATTAAAATAATTTACTTTATTGTTTTTTTAGTTTATTAAATTTTGTATTCATTTGTTTTATATGAAGTTTAAAAAATAAAAGAATATAGAAAACTATATTTTTAAATATTCCTAAATGATAATTTTGTTGCCGAACTTTGTTTCTTTTTTTGTCTTTTCTTTAGATTTAAGTTGTTTCACAAATCTAGTTTTCCATTAACATTGATGCTTGGTGGAATATTTATATCATATCCTCTTGCTATGTTGATAAAAATGCATAATATTACTATAAACGATTATATATTTTTGTAGCTCTAGAGAACTTGCGCTCAGAACAATTACTTCTTAGGTCAGTTTTTCATGCTCTTCCTTTATAAGTTTTAAGTATATTTATATAGCTGTTCATTCTATATTTCGAGAAGTCTCAAATTTTGTCATGCGCTAGAAGAGTAGAAAAACTGATCGTTTAGTTTTAGAAATATCAATACTGTGTATGTACATAAAAATTGTGTCCAGGAAACTGTGTATCAATATTTTATTCAAATCATTTTAAAATCAAGCAGTAGGAATCTAGTAAGGAGGCCTTGATTTTAGTTTCTTAAGATAAAAATTGTATTTTGCATTACATAATTTGTATTTAAATTATTTAGATAATTGACTTTGAAGTCGTTATTTAATTAATAAATTTCATTACATCTGAAATTTTGTAGTTGAATAAAGGTAACATAATTTAAAGATAACATAATTTAAAGTTTATATAACTTACTAGTAAAAAGAGTAAACATAAAAGTCATTGAGATACAGGTTTCAATATTCATCAAATAAACATAATGAAGGACAAGTAAGTATAGTACTTAAGATACATTACCAAAATAGCACATTATTGACTTCTGAAGACATTAAATATATTTGCAAACAGAGACTTAACTGGTTAATGAAACCACATACATCAGGTAATCATATGTATATTCCTTTATCTTGTTATGTGATTAATTTCGTACCTCCAAAATCTGTGTAACATAGAAACTATGTGTCAAGGCCATCCTCAAACACAAAAATCTAGCATACATATACCAAAGTATATATTACCGTTCCTGGTTAAAAAAGTCCTGAAATTAACTAAAGTTAACAAACTATTATCGTTTTAAAGTAATATATTAAAATAAGTAACAAATCCCTTGCATAGAGTTATCTCCTCTATTTTTACTAATAATGAGGTATGGAGTGTATAAAGGTAGTAATATATTTTACTGATATCCTAAGACCGTTTACTTTACAGGTTTTGCTCAGATATTAATTACTCTTTTGTATATTTTCGAAAACATTAGTTTGTCATAGTAAGTTTATGACAAAATATTGAAGATATACAACTTTTTTTGCCTATAAGTAATTCAAAACAAAAATTGCAAAGTAGCTAGCTAACATCTAATGAAACTATCATGCCTTAGCTATTACGTATTCATACTGCTAATATATATTTATAATTAAAATTTTAAATTCAAATGCTGAAACTTTATTATTACCAAAATACCTGTGTACTTTTAATTACAAAGTAAACTATTTTATCTTGATACATGCAATTACAAGTTTACTACCAATCTTTCATTGGCGCATATATTTGAGAATTAGTATTAACAGAAATAATAGTACTATACTCGTGGTAATAGTAACAATGGTTATGAAAATAAACCCAAAATGCATTTTTAATATGAGTTTCTTCTATTTTTCTTTTACTTGTAGTCCTATTCTGTACTTCTTATTTTGAACATAGTTTATATTAATTTTGTGAGTTTAAACAGTAATGATTACAATTACTTACTCATTGTTAAGCAATAAATTTAGTTTGTATTTTGTACTTAAAATAATCAATACATCTGTGTTATACAGAACAGGACTATTAGTTAAAAGAAATAATAGGAAACACATGCATTTATAAAATTTAAAAAGTAGTAGTTCTTTGTTTTTTGGTTTGTATATACTTATTGTAATTTTTTTTTTGTGTTTTTTAAATTTTACTTTTAAAGAGTTTCATGGAATGTGCTTGCATAATAATTTTACAAGGATATAGTAATATTTATATTATTTGCTTTAAAAATCAACATTTCGTAAATATTACATGGTATGCAAAATTAATAGATACAAAGTTTTTTTTTAATGTGTGTACCTGAATTGTTTTTCAAATGATTGTACATTTTTTGGTTTACATATTAATATTCTAAATTACATGATGCTTATTTCTTTATATTTAATTTTTTTAGATTTTAAATTAAAGAGAAAAGAACAGTTTCTTTAAAAATTTTATCAAGTCGATTTTCTTTATTGTTGTGGCATAATCCCTTCATGTCCTATTTTCATTCTTCAGATTACATTTCAACAGTACTCAAGTCCTTTCCTGCAATCCAAGTTGAATTCTCCAGTTATTGATCTGAATAATAACTGTTAGTATTTCAGTGTAATTACACATACCACATAATTTATTTTGCAAGATAAAAAAATACAGTAGCAAAAATAAAAGAACCTACTATTTCAATATTACATTTGAAAATATAATACATATAAAACAGTATTTGCTTTCTGTATTCTAACTCCAACATATATCAATAATGTTTGTATAAATTAATAGTACACTTGAAAATATAAAATTTCTAAATCTTGTATAATTTTTTTCTTTTCTTAAGGGGAAATGCTCTTACTGTTCGCATATATTATGTGTATGTAAATAAAGACAATCCTTCCCTCATTTTTCTCTACTAATAATATTTCTTCTTAATTTTTACAGTGTAGTACTTAATGCATTATAAAATAATTTTGGAATGTGACATGCTTGATATTGTGTAAAATTATTATCTATTTTGACTGCAAATGTGTCAAGGTCTTAACTGTCATATTTTAATTCATTAATGTATATTATCATGATAATATTGTATTAATTTTAGTTGCAATTAGAATGATAATGTTTCAGCAAAAGTACTAGATAAATTTATTTGTAATATATATGTTTACATAATTATATATGAGTGTGTATAAATATGTAAATGTAAATAGTATGCACATACAAGTAGGTGCAAAGAACAGTTAAGATCTTATGGAGTATTTGTATTTTATACTGAAAATCTTAATATCTTGAATTCAGTATAAGAAAGAATACAATTTTATGTATAA